GGCGCGGGGCGCTCGCGGCCTGCTGCTGGCGCTGTGGGGAGGTGCGCTTCGAAGGCGTCTCTCCGTCGCAGCTTGCGCGTATTTGCTGAAGGCGGTGCTCACGGTGTGCTCACCCGTGGCCGTTTTTGCTCTGCTCCGTTGGTTCCAAGACTCGGATGCTCCATGGCAGCACGGCTGCTGGTTTGCAGCGGGTAATGCTTGCGCGGTGCTGGGCCAGCATGTGCTGCACCGGGTGTTTGTCTACCAGGGCGCCGCAGCTGGGCGTCATTGCCAGCTGGCAGTTGCTGGCGCTCTCTTCCGTCAGACTTTGCAGCTGGGCGTTGCGTCCTGCGCGCGTTTCGACAGCGGTGGGCTGACCAATTTGGCAGGCAAGGATGCAGAGAACGTTTCAGAGTTGTGGTTGGGCATCATCCCACTCGTGCTTCAGCCAATCGAGATCATCGCTGTGATATGCTTGCTGTGGCTGGTCGTGGGCGAGGCAACGTTGGGAGCGCTTGCCCTGTGTCTTCTGAGCCTGGCAGGTGTCAAGGCTGTCGGCGGTATGGCGGAGCGGTGCACCGCACGAAGCGCCGCGCTGTCGGACGAGCGGCTCAAGCGTCTGTCTGAAGTGCTCTACGGCATCAAGGCAGGAATCACTCGGATCCGATTCGAAAGAACCGAAACGGGCGCGTAGGTCTGGATATTTCTGTTCGGTTCGACGCGTGCCCCAAGCAAAACAGGACACGGTCGGACCGAGGTATGAGATCTAGGTCGGCTCGTGGAGGGTGCGATGGTTTGGGTCTGCTTTGCCGGCGGATGGTATCATGATCTTGAAGGATGTTCTTCAGTCCTCGGTCTGGTTGTATGCGAATGCTCTTGCCCTGCCGAATTTGGCTGCGACTTTGGCCGATTCGATGCGATGGCGGTTTTAGTTCGACGTGTCAGTTCGATGTGGATGGACGCTGTCAAGGTTGTCAAAGCCAATGGGTGGGCCTCGCGCTTCGAGGGGCAGGTGCGCGGCGTTGCCCGCAAGGAGCCGGGAGGAGAAAACACACGCGCACACCTAGTTGTTGTGTTATGTGTTATGTCTCGTGTGGGCCCTGCAGAGGGAGCGAGAGGTCGTAAAGCTCAGGGGATCTCGGATACAAAGATTAACCACGGCCAGGCCCCAGCAGGCCAGACACAGTGGGAGACCAGGCAGACCAATCACAGACTGGGATCCAACTGCTCGGACATTCTGGGCGACCCGGAGAAGACGGCACTTAGGCCAAGACGTCATGCATGGGGCTTTCTGGTCTGACCCGTCAGGAACTCAGGACTCCCGTCCCTCAGGACCCCTTTGCTTCAGGATCCAATGCGTGCGACCCTCTGGCAGCTGGGAGCCTCAACGTTCAGACAAGATCCGGTTGGACGCAGCCAGGAGAATTTCAGTGTAAGCATGTTTCAGGCATGGGTATGTTCGTGGTTTTTGAATTGTGTTGTTTTGTTTTGCCCCTGAGGAGTCACAGTTGTCTTTAAGAAAGAAGCACTGCATGGGGCAGGTCTTGTTGTTGACGACTGAACTCGTCGACATTGTGGCGTTCACGGTCGCGGTGATCGCAGTGCTCGTTTGTGGGCAGCGCCCAGACGCGTCCCGCCTGTTTGCAATGTGGGTATTTATGGGAGTCTTGCATTCCAAACTCTTCAGCTTCCCAGAGGCCTTGCGCAAGTCTATGTCAGCATGGTCTTCTGTGACCCGCTGTGCTACCTTTTTTGAAGCAACCACCTTGTTTCCAAGCACGCCCAGTCTGGAGCTCTCAAAAGCCACCAGCTTGCCTGGACAACCCGAAGGGCTGTTCGTGGTCGACGGTGACTTCTTCTTCGAGCAGCACTGCACCGAATTCTGTTTTGGCCAATCTGCTGTTCTTTTGCCGGTGCTTGAGCACGTAAACGTCCTCTTTCAGAGGGGGCACCTTCACGCCGTGGTGGGCAGCGTGGGCTTTGGGAAGACGAGCCTGCTTCTGGGGCTCCTGGGGGAGCTGCACACCTCGGCGCAGACGCGGATGAGTCGTGACGCTGGAGGCCCAGGCTTCGCATACGTTCCACAAGATCCCGTCATATTCAACTGCACTGTGCGAGAGAACATCACCTTCGGTCGTTCTTTCGATGAGGCGCTGTATCAAGCTGTCTGCACCGCGTGCATGCTGGACCAGGATCCGGGAACGCCTCGCGGCGCGACGCCGCCGGCTCCGCGTGTTGTCACACTGGCCGCCCCCGCTGGAGACAGCGGTACGGTACGATTGCTCACCAATCTGGAGCAGCGAAGCAGCATCGTCAGAGCCGAACCATGGGCAGGTATTCCAGGCTCACGTCCTCGTTATTGTAGCCGCGTCCCTCCGTTATGTGGCGCCCGCGCTCGTCACAAGCTGGGTGAGCTTCCTCACACGCTCGCTCAGTACAGGAGCGCATGCCCCTCGCGCTCCCGTTCCGGATCACCTGACGCATTTCGATACCAGTGTTCCCCCCGCCTGACTACTTGCCCAGATTCGGTTGCGGACGCGCAGTTTCTCCACTACTTCTTTCTCGCCCGCCTAGTTTGTCCCACGGCCCTGTTCCCTATTCAAATGTCCCTGGCTCGCCAGGGGACTCTGCCGCATGCCGTTTTCACCATGCTCGTCATTCAGGCCGCGCACTCGATTCAGCTGCAGATGCGGTGGTCCCCCATTCCATCGTTTTCCGCGGGTCGTTCGCTCCTCGAACCTCGTTTCACCTGCTCGTCACTTGATTGGATAGCGGATTCGTTCTCCGTGGTCATGAGCCGCGCCACTTTTCCCATCCCTCCTTCCCCAAGCTCGTTCCCCCAGGTCGCGTGCCCTAGCTAGCTTGTGGACGTGCGCTTCCGTATTTTTGCCCGTTCTGCATATTCCGTTCGTGTCTCATGCCTCGCTCCTTGTGCCTCGTTTCCCATGCTCGTTCCCGCGATCAAATAACGGACTCGTTCCCGCGCGTGGCGACCAAGTAACCCACTCCACTGCGGACGCAGCGTTCCACTCCTTAGTTCTGCACCCATGAACGCTCCCCTCCTGCACCCATGAACGCTCCCCCTCCCCCCATCCAGTAGCGCATTCGTCCACGATCTTCAATTTCCCCAAACTTCATTCCCAGCGCTGTCTTCTCAAATATTGAGCTGTTCAGGGTTGTTCGTGTGAGTTTGAGCTTGAACTTCGTCACGTGTATGTTACGTAATTTGGGGTCATATACCGGGGCGTCTGAGAGCTTGTCGGGGCCATCTTGGAGCCCTGTGGCAGTTGCCTTGAAGAGTCTGGGGGCACCTGGGGTAGGGCCCTTGAGGGAGTTTGGGGTGGCCTCTCAGGCTTCTTGGGGGCATTCATGGGACCGTCAGACGGCTGTTTGAAGGTGTTTGGGGTGTCTTCTTGAGACTCGCTGGGGCCCGTTGCGGGACATGTACGGAGCTGCTTGATTGTGTGCAGATTGGAGGCGTCTTGAGACAGATTATTCGGAGCTCTAGGGCGTTGCGGATCTAGCCTTGCCCTGACCGCGGCAGGGGCCGATCGGGAAGAATATCACACACACCCCGTGACCCAGAGTTGCCAGCGGATGTATCTATTTTTCCGGATGGTGACATGACCTTTTTGGGATCACGTGGTATCAACATCAGTGGAGGACAGATGGCCCGCATTTGCTTGGCGCGCGCCGCGTATTCAAGAGCGGAGGTTCAGCTTCTGGACGATCCTTTGGCCAAGTTGGACACAAGGGTGAGTTCGAAAGTGTTCTCTGAGGCCATCCTCGGCTTCCTAGCTGGGTACACTCGAGTCATGGTGACCAACAGCGGCAACATCGTCAAGCAAGCGGACGCAGTGGTCAGGGTAGACGGTGGTACGGCATTCCTCGAGAAACATGCAGAACTTCAATCAGCAGGTTTGCTGTCTGACCGTGAGGCGGATGCAGAACAGAGGTCCAGCGCTGTGGCAGCCACGAAAAATGTTCCATGTACAGGAGACGAGTTCGAAGCTGGAGATATACCGGCCACAGAATTGTTTGCTCTGGACGGGTCCACTGACCAAGTGTCCATCAAGCGTCGGCACTCGCAGGTCGTAAGATTCATAAGCCATGTTGCTGAAGGTGTTGGGTCGCCTCGTCGTCTGGCGACGTACTGTGCCATCGCTGGGGTCGAGTGCGCTGTGATTGAACTCGGAGTGTATTTCCTAGCGCTGTGGTGCGACGACCCTGCCCAGCTGAAGCACTCTGATGCCTGGTATGTCTGGATGTATGCTGGCTGCATTGCTCTCGAAATAGTAATTGCCCAAGTGAAGTACTTTGCGCTTTCATCGTTCACACAGTCGTCGCACGACGCGCTCCACGATACAATGCTGACACATACGATTGGGTCTTCCTTCTTGTGGATACAGGGCATACCTGTTGGGCAAATGCTTCAGATGTTCTCATCCGTGCTGTCGAGGATCGATGATCGCGTCTATCACACCACGGAGTTGTTGGCGATCAATTTATCATTCCTCATCGCCGTCAATGGGATTAGCTGTGTGATCTTCCCTCCCTGGACTCTCGTTCTCTTGTTGCTGGCAAGTTCCATTGCTCTGGTAGTGCGCCACCATGCCGCCGCAGGAGAGGCGGCCCATGATGCCCCGCTCAGACGGGCTTGCTTGAATCACTACACTGATACTCTTGTTGGGCTAGTGGTAGTTCGGGCGTTCTCCGGCACAAAGGAAAGATTCACATCTCGTTTCGACGACTTCATGAGCCAGTGCGTAGCCGCGAAGGCGGCAAACGGCGAGTCCGAAGCAGCACTCCTGATGCGACTCAGCCTCATCGGAGCCAGCGGCTTCGCCTGCGCCGGGGCGGCGGTGGTCGCTGCCCGCCAGCTGGGCTGGATGACGCCGGGCATGGCAGGCTTCATGCTGGCCAACTGCTGCTTCCTGACCTTCATCATCACCGAGCTCGTGTTCAACGCGCTGGCGGTGCTGGAGATGGCGAGGGAGCGGGAGGCCGTCCTGCGGCTCGTCTGCAGTGCGCCTCAGGAGGCCGGCCCGAGCAGGGGCGCCGGGCCGGCGCCTGGCTGGCCCGCCGCGGGGCGGCTCGCCACGGAGGCGCTGGACGTGCGCTACGGCGCGCGCCTGGAGCCCGCCATCCGCCAGCTCAGCATCGGCGTCGAGGGCGGCGAGCACCTCGGCATCGTCGGCCGCACCGGCAGCGGGAAGTCGTCGCTGATCCTCGCCATCTGCCGCCTGGTGGAGCCAGCTGCGGGGCGGGTGCTCATCGACGGCGTGGACCTGGCACTCCTGCGGCTTCAGGAGTTGCGCGAGCACCTGGGAGTCATGAGCCAGGACCCTCTCTTCTTCAGCGGGACGCTGCGCGGAAATTTGGACCCTTTCGGCGAGCATCCAGACACCGCCATCTGGTCGGCCCTTCAAGACGTGGGTGTAGCCCAGCTGTTCGACGACGCGGGTTTAAGCACTACTGTGGCAGAGTTGGGGGCAAATTTCTCCGCAGGACAGCGGCAACTGCTGTGTTTGGCACGCGCGTCTCTGCGTGAGCCGCGGTTGGTGTTGGTCGATGAGGTGACTGCGGCGCTCGACATAGATCGGGCGGTCGTATCAGGGGACTCGGGTATGGGTGGCCCAGGCTTTCGAAGGTCCAAAACCACACCCCGAATTACAAGTCTGAAGCACGGTGTGGTGCCCGCACCTTTGAAGGCCAGGGCCGCCGTAGCCCAGGATCCATACCACGAATACCCGAGCAGAGGCGGACCTGCGCGTCCAGAGGGTTCTGGAACTTCGTTTCACGCGGCGCGGTACAACGCTGCTGCAGGTGGCCCACCGGCTGGCGTCGGTGGCCCTCTGCGGCAGGATCGCGGTCCTTGACCGCGGGCAGTTGGTGGAGTTGGGGCCTCCGAGCGAGCTGCTCGCGAATGCGGAAGGGGTCTTTAGCAGCATGGTCGCGTGCCTGACCATGGAAGAGCAGGCGGCATTCCGTCGCTCAGCCAATTCCAAGGTGGTCGACGGTGGGCAAGATGCGTTCGACAAGGCAGCATCGGACGGTGCGCATGACGCTATCGTTACCCATTCGAACATCGACACATGCTTGAGGGACGGCGCATGTATTTCCCCCGTGTGCAAATGAGTATGCCCGAGTTTGCGCAGATGCTTCGAAGCACAGCTGGGTCGTCTGGCACAATTTTCCAGAACCGCTCCAGATTTTCCAGAAAGTATAGTCACACTGCCAGTCAGAGCGTTATCTGTGAGGCTCGTGTCCGACTTCTGGCTTCTAATGGTTCGTTCCAGCACGGAGGAGGCCTTTCCAGCGAAACACGTTGTTTGACACCACAGTGGTTTACTTGTTTCGGTTTGGAAGGTGAAGAACAGGGTAGGTAGGATCCGCAATGAGGAGCAAGTGTTCCTGAGGAGCAGGGGGAATGAGCCGAGACTTCATAGGTATCGGGTTTCATCGAGGGGCCGCTCAGTGACGAGCTTTGGGCCTAGATCGAAGCAGTAAGTCTGGCCGCTTCATTCCAATCTCATCTGGGGAACCCGTGCATGTATTTCACATAATGATCTTCGGCGCCGGCACAGGGAGGGAGGGGGCCATGGGCGGCGTCATGGAAGATGTACCGAGCGAAATCCGCACACCGTAGCATCATCGAATCACGTTTCTTGTCGGTCCCTGGCGGAAGTCTGACTACTCCATGGTCTGTCCAGCAGTCCTGGACTCTCGGAGCAACGCTCCTGCTAGGAGCTTTCAGAAGAGAGCCAAACATGTGTCTGGTGCGGACTTCTGCTGAACATCGATAGGACTGTAGATGTTGAGGCCTTGCTGTAAATCCCGACGGGGTCGCACCACGACATGATTGCCATGTTCGTTTGGGCCCGGGGCGCCAGATCTGAAAGCAGGACGTTTCGAATTTATGACGGTCGCCATAGTTCACCCCGGTTCTTTCGCTCTTGGAAAATGTGCATGGCTAGTCACTCCGTGTCTTCATCGTGGACGCCCTAGTTGTGGTAGAGCGCAGCAGACATAATATTGTACCGAACACGTAGACACATGAGTGCCATTCCATGTTCCCATTTTTCTTTCACCGCACAGAAGTCTACACCGAGGCGCTTGAGGCGGCAGGAGGCCATGAGGAAGATTAAGTATATCACTCTGGCATCACGACGCAATCACATGATACATATTGAAGTACCCCGGAGATTGGACACACGCAAGCGGATATGCGATAAGCCCAGGGAAAAATCAATGACATTCAGGGTCCCCTGTCGCTTTCTCGTGCGCGAGCGTCATGCGCCGTGCACCATTCCAGCCGCGCAGTTCACACGATTGGAAGGGAAGGATATGTAAATGCGACCACATGAGAACAAGGGATGGTAACCTCCTGATGTCCGTGCTGCATTATGATGCGAATTCTGCATCGACGTGAAACGGTGCAGGCTGATACGGATGATGGTATCTAAAGTTGAGCTATTATATTGCCACCGGCGAGCTTACAAGTGGCACAAACATTGGGTTGATTCTGCGTTGGTTGTTGCAAAGTCATGTGAAGCCAGTTGTAATGCGTGCGTGCGGCCAGTTCGATGTGTGAGTTCCCGTGCAGAGTAATTTGTGACGCTTCGCCTATCCGCCCCAGCCCCGACTAGTGCTCGGATGGCTTTCGACCCGCCACTCGAGCCTGTTGACCAAAAAGTATCCCCACCAGCCTATCCAGGAACGATACTTGGGGGAGCTGACCTTCGGGGAGCGCGGCATCATTTGGATAAATCGGGGAGCCTCAGTGACCTAGAGGCATCTTGGATACCTCTCGGAGTCGCTTGAGGTGTCTCCTGAAGACTCCTGGGGGGATCTTGGTGGCCTCTCAGGGTGTGAGGGGGGGGCCTCTTGGGAGCTCTTCGGGGCCTGTTGGGACGTCTTGGGGCCCTCTAGGGTGCCTCTCAGGGCTCTCTTGGGACCATCAAGTAGCGCTGCCCTTCTAGAGCCCCTAGAATCCCCTCCTGATGCTCTCTTGGGGCTCTCTTGAGGAGCTCTTGGGCCCTCTTGGAGCCCTCTTGGGTCTCTCTTGGGCCTCCTTGGAGCCGTATTAAGGCCTCCGAAGACCATCCGAAGCGAACGGGCGAGAAGGCCAAACTCATGCATGTCCCTTGGTGTAAAAGTTTGGCCACGTAAAGGCGTCTTAGGGAGCCTTCAAGGCCACTTGGACCCGTTTTGGAATGGTCTTGTAGATGTTTGAAGCCATACTGAGTGATCAGGCGCTCTCTTGAGCCACCTTGGAGGCCAGCTGGGGCCCTTGGGCCATCTTCGGATATCTTGGGCCCTCTGACCGCTCGCGGGGCGCCCCGTCCAGACCAGGGGGGGTAGAAGGAGGGGTCAAGGCACCCTCCCCGCCCGCAAGCTGTCTCGCTCCCTCCCACCCACCATCCCAACACATAAGTTGCACCCGAGCCTCAGCATGTTCATCGGTCGTCTATGGATGAAGCAGCTACTGGCAACCAAAACAGACCCCACGTGTGCGACTCTGGGGCGAGGTGCGCCACGCGTGCCAGGCGCGCCACGCGCGCCAGGTTCGCCAGGCACCCCTAGGGCCCAAGCGTACCAGGCACGCCTGGCGCGCCAGATGTGCCACGTGCTCCACGTGCGCCATGTGTGCCGCATGGTCCAGCCGCGCCAGGTGCGCTACGTTCGGGGCACGCGTAGAATGCGCCAGGTGCGCTCGCGCACGTGACACCACACATCAGGAAGCATGCCGGCCCCCACCATCCTGGTCGAAAACTAATGCACAATCGTTGCGGGGCGGCCACCATGGTGTCTGGAGGGCCTGCGCACAGCAGGCAGTATGGCAGCAACCCCGCCGTCCTTGTCAAAAGCCAGTTGACAGTGATCGCGGGGTGGCCGCGCATGATCCAAATTCACCCGCGAAGTGCATTTTGCATTGTTCCCGACCATCCTGTGGTTTGGGGTGTTCGTTTTGAAGAGGCAGCGCCCTACCTCACTCTTCTTCGCATCCTCCCCCTCCTCCCTCCTCATATCCCTGCCTTTGCCCTCCGCAGCGGCCAATTTCGGCACACCCGACACACGCTTTTTGGCCCTAAAGGGAGCTCCAACGACGGCCCCAGTGGCAGGGTCCACATGGGGCTCCCCGCCCTCTTGCATGTCCATATCGGCACAGCCCTCACGAGCTTCGCGGACCCATAGGGAACTCCACCGAAGCCCCAGTGGCAGGGTCCATATGTGGCCTCCCGCCCACCGCATGTCCTTTTCGGCACACCCCACACACGTTGCGTGGCCCCATATACAGCTCCATGGTCCACCGAAGGCCCCAGCGGCAGGATCCACATGGGGCTCCGGAGCAGCATGTCCATGTCGGCACACCCTTTACACGCTTCGTGGCCTCATAGGGAGCTCCTCCGACGGCCCCAGTGGTAGGGTCCACATGGGGCTCCCCGCCCACCGCATGTCCATATCGGCACAGCCCTCACGCGCTTCGCGGTCCCATGGGGAACTCCACCGAAGACCCCAGTGGCAGGGTCCATATGCGGCCTCCCGCCCACCGCAGGTCCTTTTCGGCACACCCGTCACGCGTTTCATGGCCCCACAAGGAGCTCCACTGAAGGCCCCCGTGGCAGGGCCCACATGCCTCATGTCCATTTCGACGCACCCCTCTTGTGTTTCGTGGCCTCATAGGGAGCTCCCCCTCCTTCGGCTCACCTGCCTTGCAGCATTCACAATTGCATATGGTTAGGTCTTCATGGCCCATGGATGCAGGCCTTACGCACAGCCTGCAATATGGAGGCACCCCCGCGAAAGACTCAAGCATATGCAGTTTTGAGTACCGTCGTTGTGAGCATCGCCTTCGGAGGATCGCCTTATGAGGTCACGAAGCATGCGAAGTGCGTGCCGAAATTGGGCGGGGCCGCCATGCGGGCGCTGCCAGCTTGGGGCCTCAGGTAGAGCCCCCCGATGGGGCCACGAAACTTGTGAGAGGTGTGCCGACATGGGGCGGCGCTGCCATGAGGGGCGCTGCCGTTGGGGCCTTAGTTGGAGCTCCTCACGGGGCCACGAAGCGTGCCATGCGGGCCCTGGCACTGGGGCCTTCGGTGGAGGGGCGTCGTCGTCACCACGGCTGGATCCGCCGCGAGAGTCTGGCTAGAGCACATCCTGGGACACTTCGTTGGATCAACTTGAAGGGGTCGCGACCTTCGACGTCGTGATATACTAGACCCCGGCGTTGAAGACATGCGATTACAGCGAGAAGGCCTTCACCCAACGTGTTGATTGGTATTGTCTATCAAATGTGTGCCTCGGCTTGTCAGGGACTCTTAATCCCGGTTGGGTCATGGAAAAGACGAGGACCTGGTCTACGTGAAGAAGGCAGCCGGGGTTTGCGAATCAGCTTCGATACCCAGTATTGTCCCAATGCCGCGGTCAGCTCCGTCGGTCGAATAGCGCAATGTCTTGGCAATGTGGATTTGCTTCAGTAGTTTGCAGCACGCTCATGTCCTGCGGGTGGTCCCCGCTCTTGCCGCAGCTTGTGCCGTGCTCTCTGGTGGTCGCCGTCACTGTCCAGCATACATGTCATATATGTGTGCTGAACACGCTGGGTGCGGCAGATGCTCGGCTTCAGATCATCATAGGTTTCGCGTCGCGCAGCAGGAGGAGGAGGAGGAGGAGGAGGAGGAGGAGGAGGGCGACCGAGGACAGGATCCCAGGGCTCCCCGAGCGGCTCCGGAAGCCGAGACGGGGCAGCCCGCCCCCGCAGAGGCGGCCCCTGCGGACCCCGAGGGCGAAGATCCCGGCCCGCACGCAGGGTCGCGGATGCTCCGGGAACCGGAGGAACAGCAGAAGGAGTGATCCCAAGGGACCTTGACGGGGTCCTCCTCCTCCTCCTCCTCCTCCTCCTCCTCCTCATCCTCCTCCGCGTCCTCCTCCTCCTCCTCCTCTTCCTCCTCCTCCTCCTCCTCCTCCTCCTCCTCCTCCTCCTCCGGGGGGGAGGCCAGGATCGTCCAGGGAATCCAAGCGGCGGTCGGAGTCCAGCCAGGCTCTCGAGTTGGACGCGGGGGAGCTTTGGATGTCAATGGGAGGAGCAGCAGCACCAGGATGAGGAGAAGAGGGAGGACGACGATGACGACGACGAG